CTTTAATTAACTCCCTATCTTACATCACTGTGTAGCAAATGTTGCTTATTTTTCTTTTTTATATTATGTAGTATCATGTGTAAAATTAGAATTATCTCCCTTTGAGACTGTATTTTTCAGAGCAGTGTTTTTAAGGCTGTGATGCAGCTATTGTTGTAAATAAGCACTTTTCAAGTATTTTAGCATTCGAATAATTAGTTGGTATGTAGAAATAATATATTTATTTCATCATTCAATGCGTTTCTTCAATTTAAAAATTTTCTGTATAACTTTTCAGTATTAGATACCCTTCATCTATAAGCTGTTGATAAAATGTTTGTTTTTCTAATGAGATGCTTAAAATTCTCTATTAAATACTGTAAATAGTTGCTTTATCAATTGTAATGCAAAGTATGATCTTACCACGTCTTATTTTCATTCTCTGCTCATTTTTCTACTTCAGTCTTGGCTGCCTGTTTTGGACGTAGAAGCCGCCCTGATGTTGAGTGCATAGGAATTTCAGCAGAGTGTTTGATATTTACAGGTCACAAGATCAAAGTCTTCCTTGGATAGTCTTTCAAATTTAACCACAGGGAATACAGGTATTTTAACATTTTCCAATTTAAGTCCTCTGTTATGTGGAATATTTCCCTTCTTAAATCTGTGTTTTTTTAAGTGCACAGCATAACGTCCCATTTTTTAGTAATTTTTTTGATGAAATAATTATTCTTATAACAATATTTGATTTGTCACTCTCTGACTTCATTTAACAAAAGTAAGAAGAAGGAAAGTGCAGAAACAGGACAAATTTTATTGCTAAGATATCATTTTTATGGTTGACAGTTGATGAAAAGTCTGTTTTTCTCTGACTCTACCAGTATGATAAGACATTCTCATCTTTGATAGTAAATGACCCTATAGTTATCTGTGTGCACTTTAAATGATCTATACAAGATATTAAAACACAGATTTAGTGTAGGGAAATATTATTGTTGATTTTGTTTGTATGACACTCATTTAAAAGCCTTTGAAACAACTTTTTGTGGTATTTTCAGGGTATACTCATTAAAACTTCCATATATGGAGACATTAATCTCAGAATATAACATGACTTATGTTTCTAAGATTAACTGGCAATATATGTTCAAACAAACACAAAAAACAGTTCATATTTATTAAACAATATATTTTACATCATTTTTTATACAACATTCAATATACAACTTTATGCACAAAATATGCATTGGCCGCAATATGGGCTATAGTACAAATTTTCCTTAAACTTTGACAATTAAGCCTTTACAGATCTTGTATTGAATCTTGAACTTGAAAATAGGCTAAATTACATAATTAATACAAGAAAAGTATGATTTGAGGAAAAATTGTCTCTTATAGGGGTAAATTCAGTAAATAAATATACGTCATCAGGGACCGCTCATTTGGGGGAGAGCTTTCAGTATAAAATTGAAGACGTGTGCTGCAATGATTGGTAGATAAAGTTTTCAATAATTTTTTTTTTCGTTAGATGGATCAAAACAAATGTTAAAAAAAATAATTAAATAATGCTGAATGAATTTAATTTTTTTTAAAACAGGATTGAAAAGTGATGGGGTCATTGTAGGAATTAAGTGCGAAACTACAGTGTTTGTAAACAAAGCCATGTGGACGGCCCGAAAATGCCGCATGACCCTATGTTTTGATGGTTGCAAAAGATGGGGCTACATTTGTACTTTAATGAATGAAATATAAAAGCTTCTAATTTCTAAAGGTAAAAAAGTTATAAATTTAATTGAACATGTAGGTTAACATTGAAGTTAATGGGAGATTTTTTACTGAATTTACCCCTATACGAGCCTGTTAGTAAATATCCGGTTGAATGCCATGTATTGCAAGATAATTACTTCTGACTTGTTTGTGGTTAGGTTTAGTTTGTTTTAGCATCTTTGATCAATATTTTGTGTTAATTCGTAAAGATATCACGATTCCTTCTGAGTATGTCATATTGAGGACCTCCCTCAAGCTGGAAAATTAACTTTGATAGTCGTTTACATTTGGCAGTTGCCGAAACTTATCGTAATTATGTTGTTTTTTTCTTGTGATCGTAATTTGAGTAGCCCAACACATCTTTATGATACTAGTAAAAGCTGTTTAAGATAACCTCAAAGAGAAGGTCAAAACAATAATTTATTTCCGCAGCTTGTTTTTTTGTCCTTTCTTCTAGTATATGAAACTGACCCAACTACCACAAGAGCATTGACAGTTAGAGGAAAGCATACAGTTTTCAAGAATAGTCAGTCTCCATACAATATCTGTATGTTGATTTCTTTATCATCCCAAGTCTATGATAGTTAAGTAATGAATAAATTTAACAGAATCAATATACATGTAAGGTCTGCAACAAATGAGAAATTAAATGAATTCATTGATTTTCAAGAATTCTCGTCTGTTCAAAATGCAAATGCATGAGTGTAAACTGGAACTATAGAGGTTTGGGTTCATTGAAGGACTGACAGGAAGTTAAAAATAAGTTCATGATTATAACAGTAAAAGGCTTGATTTGTTTTTAATCAATGGTTGTACCCATGGCAAGTACAAGTAAATTTCCCTTGTGAGAAACATTAGTAACACAAGCAACTAACAGCATTTTACGAATAACTTTGATGAGTTATCTGCTTATTGTATTATACACCCTACTCATAATTTGTTTCACATTTTTCACATTGTGGCCTTTTAGAGCTAACTATACCATATGGGTTTGTCTCATTGTTGAAGGCTGTACAGTTGCCTATAATTGCTAACATCCACTTCATTTGAATTTTATGGATAGTTGTCTCATTGGCATTCATACATCTCCTAATTTTTATATTGGTGAATATTTGACATTTTTTTATTAGCATTAAGAGCAATATGTAAGTGGACAGTCATTTCATTTTTAGGGGGTAAGGCAGGAGGATTTCTCTTGGACAGATTATTCACAAATAGTCAATATTATTTCATTTTTATCTGTTGCTCAGATTGTTTATGTAGCATAGCTTCATTTTCACTTTTTTACACAATTTTGCATGCGTAATGTGAGGCAGAAATGCAGCAGCTTATTCATTTTCATCTTGAACGGGCAACATTTGTTCTTCTACTAATTCTCACCAAGCTAAAATATTCATTCCCACATAGCCCCACCCTCATCCCATTGACCCAATAAATCAATTGGTTATCAACTTTCAAAAAGTACCTACATTGTACCTAGAAAACCTATCTTAGTGAACACTGACCTGTCTTCGTTTACATCCTTGTCCTTTGATCTCCTGATAGTTGTCTTAATAGCAATCATACCACATCTCCCTATTTTTATACCCACATGAAATATTTTTTTACATTCCTTATGAACCAAGCATGAAAGACCAAAAAATGGAACATTGTTACAAACCAAACTATCTGGGAACACCCAACCACAGAAATGCTGGTTCCTGCTATGAAGACATCATGTATTCTGGATGTCTTGTAATAAAAGAAGTTTGTTCTTGCTGAAAAATTTTATTCACACACACACAAAGCAATATTAGAACATGTTAATTTTCCAAGTCCTTTTTTAATTCCATTCATGACACTATTTGAATAAATATATAGTCACTGGTTGGATTTTACATATTGATAATGGTGATTTCATACTCTGGTTAACTTCCGTCTTAAGTTTGTCAAAGGAGCTGACACAATTTGTATTTGATTTTTTGGTACATAAAGTATCCTCTGCGACGTGTACTTCATAGAAAATACATTCTACAAATGTATGTCTTCTAGAGGCTAGGTTTGATGCCTTTCCCTGTATTGCATGCAGTATGAGTGATCATTTTGTAAGTCAGAATATGGTGTTATTTCTTGCACTTTCACTACAAAGAAACATGTCTCCTTTCTTTAACTTTGGTATCCTGAAAATAAAAACATTTTTTTTTGTAAGACTTGTAAGACTAAAATATAATTAGGGTTTCCCTAACATTTTCCATATTGTAAAATTATAATTTTAATCCATTTAATTTCAAAGCAAAAAAAAACATTACATGTAAAACAAAATACACCTGCCTACTACAAATTAAAAACGAATAAGAATCTAAAAATTACATTTTGTGGCAGTACTAGTACTAGTGCTGAAAGTTGTCAGAGTTGGCTAGAATTCAACTAAGAATTTCTGTAAAAAACATTAAGAGATGTGGCACACTGGTATGATTCTTGCGCAAATTGTGAAAATAATGATTTAAAGTAATTCTGGTATCAGTTTTATTTTATATATTTAATAATGTAGTTACCTGATTATTATCCACAGCCATAACCAACTATTGTCCTCAGAGAGATGTACTATCAAAGCACAAAATATCTTTTACATCTGAAAGTAAAAAACTTAATGCAAATATGATGTTAAACAATTATACACAGTAACTGAAATTTTATTACTTATGTATCAAGAGTAGGCTACTCTCCTAGCTGTCCATATATAAAAGCAAAACAATTATGTTGTATCAAATAACATTTAGAGAATTTTGCAGTAATTTAAAAACGAATATTTGGGCACTCGTCACTGCTTGGTTATGTATAATCTGTTAGTGTTACTGTTTAAACAGATGTAATTTACATGTTCACTGTAATAATGCTGGGATATGTATTTTATTGAAATTAATCCAGTTATCATGGGGTTGATGGTAAACATGAACATTAACAAAATAACACAGTTCATAATACATCACAAAAATAATAAGATACAAGACATGAATTTATGTAGAATATGGAGTCTGGTCAGAAAAAGTTTAGAATTTTAAAGTCCGCATTGGCACATTATGCATCCTATACAAGTACATAACCGGTTGATTGTATTTGGGTAACAAGGATTAATTATGTACTTTAGACATGTAGCCATCCCAAGAATATCAACCACAGAAATGCTGGTTCCTGCTATGAAGACATCATGTATTCTGGATGTCTTGTAATAAAAGAAGTTTGTTCTTGCTGAAAAATTTTATTCACATACACACAAAGCAATATTAGAACATGTTAATTTTCCAAGTCCTTTTTTAATTCCATTCATGACACTATTTGAATAAATATATAGTCACTGGTTGGATTTTACATATTGATAATGGTGATTTCATACTCTGGTTAACTTCCGTCTTAAGTTTGTCAAAGGAGCTGACACAATTTGTATTTGATTTTTTGGTACATAAAGTATCCTCTGCGACGTGTACTTCATAGAAAATACATTCTACAAATGTATGTCTTCTAGAGGCTAGGTTTGATGCCTTTCCCTGTATTGCATGCAGTATGAGTGATCATTTTGTAAGTCAGAATATGGTGTTATTTCTTGCACTTTCACTACAAAGAAACATGTCTCCTTTCTTTAACTTTGGTATCCTGAAAATAAAAACATTTTTTTTTGTAAGACTTGTAAGACTAAAATATAATTAGGGTTTCCCTAACATTTTCCATATTGTAAAATTATAATTTTAATCCATTTAATTTCAAAGCAAAAAAAAACATTACATGTAAAACAAAATACACCTGCCTACTACAAATTAAAAACGAATAAGAATCTAAAAATTACATTTTGTGGCAGTACTAGTACTAGTGCTGAAAGTTGTCAGAGTTGGCTAGAATTCAACTAAGAATTTCTGTAAAAAACATTAAGAGATGTGGCACACTGGTATGATTCTTGCGCAAATTGTGAAAATAATGATTTAAAGTAATTCTGGTATCAGTTTTATTTTATATATTTAATAATGTAGTTACCTGATTATTATCCACAGCCATAACCAACTATTGTCCTCAGAGAGATGTACTATTAAAGCACAAAATATCTTTTACATCTGAAAGTAAAAAACTTAATGCAAATATGATGTTAAACAATTATACACAGTAACTGAAATTTTATTACTTATGTATCAAGAGTAGGCTACTCTCCTAGCTGTCCATATATAAAAGCAAAACAATTATGTTGTATCAAATAACATTTAGAGAATTTTGCAGTAATTTAAAAACGAATATTTGGGCACTCGTCACTGCTTGGTTATGTATAATCTGTTAGTGTTACTGTTTAAACAGATGTAATTTACATGTTCACTGTAATAATGCTGGGATATGTATTTTATTGAAATTAATCCAGTTATCATGGGGTTGATGGTAAACATGAACATTAACAAAATAACACAGTTCATAATACATCACAAAAATAATAAGATACAAGACATGAATTTATGTAGAATATGGAGTCTGGTCAGAAAAAGTTTAGAATTTTAAAGTCCGCATTGGCACATTATGCATCCTATACAAGTACATAACCGGTTGATTGTATTTGGGTAACAAGGATTAATTATGTACTTTAGACATGTAGCCATCCCAAGAATATCAAATGTTTGACCATGATCTGACAACATAAAATTTTTGACTATTTTTGGTATTTCTTTATATTTCAAATGATGAACCCAGACGCCCAAGAGTCCTGACAATATGAAGAGTTTTAGTAGTGAGATGAGATTTTATAACTGCCCCTTGATGAAGTGCCTAATTTTACTTCCAAGTTCTCCATACATGTGCATGGACCGTTCTTTTCTTTTTTGGTTTTTGTTTATGAGTATGAAGAGATTTTGTGTATCGTGGAACACTTTTTGACAACAAAGCCTAAAAATTAGTCTTTCGTAAAATTTCTTTTTATTCATTTGGGCGGGTTAAGCCTCAGAAAAATTATACAGGCCTGGGACGAGCGCTTGTGATTTATCCTGAAGACGGCAATATATATTTTTTATTGCATTAACTGAATTAGTCGGACTGAAATCGTACCCTTATCCCCCACACTTTTAAGCACATATATACGCATGTACAAATGTAACTATCTCCTGTTATCTTTGTTACTGGCCTGAGGTATACCAAAAGTTTGGAGAGATAGACAGTCTTAATATAAATACAATAGTAAGAACACGCCTTTAACTTGTAAAATAATAGTGTCCCTCTATTTTCACTTTATACTACTGCCAAAATATGCTATGACCTATGTGCAGTATGACTGTATGATATACTCAGTTGATGTGGTGAACGTAAGCAGGGTTCTGTAAACCCTTGAAGGTATAAAGGAATTTCCCAGTACATTTCCATATCAATTCTAAAGGAAAAAACAATACCTTTTAGTGTAAATGTCCATGAAACGACAGATGCAAACTATGTATTCTAAACATTTTTCATCACGTTCGAGGGATTACAGGAAGTTTATTTATGTTAATTTGGTCCCGCCCATAATAACGACTTTTGGATGCATCTAGTAACCGTAGCGGTATTTTAAAAATATGATGATATCGCACGTTATCATTTTGCAAGCCATAATCTGTTTTGTAAAGATATAAACTGTTTTTTGAACGAGAACTGTCATAAACTTACACTTAAAAGTATCACAACATGTAATTTTGTTATATTATACTTACAAAACGCCGAATTTATCTGGAAATGACATAAATTCAACTTGTGACGGTGGACGAAAAACGACAAATGAGATGCATCACTGTAAATCTCGCAAAATCTCATCATACTCAGTTTATTTCAATACAGGCAATTCAAATAGTCCACGAGATTCCGATCCTTCTCACTATACAAATCCTTGATGTGAGGTATAAATGAATGAGATATCAATTTAATGACATAAAAAAAAAGAAAAAAAAGCATCCCATAAAATACCACTAGATTAACCCCAGCACATTTTATGCCAGTACCTAGTCGGGCTATCTGGACCATGTGTTGTTTGTTGTTGTTTTTTTTTTCCGGAGGAGTCAAGCATTCGTGGGTTATATTGTGCTGTACAATATTTTTGAAAAATCCACTTTCTTTACTCTAAACCAATTCATTTTCGATGATACTTTGTTTCGCGTTTTTTCGGTTTTTGATGGGGCTCGTGTTGCTCAGTCTTTATTTTTCTGTGTTGTGTTTTTTATACTGTTCTTTGTCTTTTGATCTTTTTTCAATTTTTTTTGCCATGGCATTGTCACTTAGTTTTCGAATTACTAGTATCTCTTTGGTATAAGAAAGACGAAGGATACCAAAGGGACATTCAAACTCATAAGTCGACAATAAACAGACAATGCCATGACTAAAAAAGAAAATACAAACAAACAACAGTCCACAAAATGCAACATAGAAAACCAAAGGCTGAGCAACACAAACCCAACCAAAACTGGGGGTGATTTTGAATATCGCTTTGGTATATTTCGTTTCGTTTTTAACCCTTTCCAGGCACCATCGCGGCGATTTATTTTCGCGATTTCTAATTTCCTTCGTGTATTTATAAAAGGAAAGACGTTTTTCACATTCGAGCCGATTTTTATTTGCGTTATTGTTTTACTCTGGAAAATGCGAAAATTAATCGTGCGTAAATATTACAAAATAAGGAGATATGGTATGCTTGTCAATGAGACAAATATCTATCAAAGTTCAAATGAAGTGGATGTCAGCAATTAAAGGCAACCGTATTAGTTACTAGTAGTTTACAGTATTGTCTAAAGAACAGCAAATGTAGACAAATAACGTCTATGCAGTTTGTCAAACTTTCTACTTTTTTTCACGATTTAAATCCCCAAAATACCATTTGTAATGATTTGAAAACAATATAATCATAGTCTTTGTCAATATGTTTATTAAGCCCTCATCCACCACAAAGAAATGAAATAAAAGAGATGCTGCATTTCTTTACTTTTCACTCTATAATCAAATTCTAGCTTGGATTGATAGATCATTTTTTATTTCAATTCTGCCAGTGAAATCATATTTATGTTAAATCCTTTTATTGTATATTCCTGTGTTACAAAAACTGCCCCAAAAGAATTTTGAGGAAAATCGAATGAAATCAACACCATATAAGTGTATTGGTCACCATCACACAATGGTTGACTGATACGACGTGTCAGTGTCTCAACTTACTAGCGACAAGTTCACGGTCTTATATCTTTAGATACAAGATACAAGACCAGTTATCTGATCTGTTAATTAACCGATTATGTACTATTACCGTTTATGACATTTTGACAGTGTGGAATTGCACGGTCGGTGATTGCATATCATATACGCAATAGACGCTTATCATGTCGACGCACTCGGTCCTGCTTCTTTTTGAGTTCATCCGATTCCTTCTGTTTTCCCTTGATTTGTACATTCTTAATAGATTTATGAAATTTGAACATTGGGAAACTTCTGTTGCCTCTAATTTAGGCCCCCTTTCAGAATAATTGTAACAATTTTATCTTCGATACACCTTTAAGGTTTCAAGATGTAAAGCTGAGATATTTTGTAGTATTCAATAGAACTGTCAATGCCCGAAAAAAACAGGTAATATATATATATATATATTCTTAAAGACCAAAAAATAAGTGAAAAAGTATATTTAAACAAAACGCATTTGACTAACAGGTCGAACAACGGATGTTCTTAAACCCTGCTGACTGCCATTGGCGATTGCCAAATTAACGGATCGCAAGATGCAACAAAATGGATCTTTATTATTAATCTAATGCCAAACAGGAAACAATAAACTTGCGGAAAAGATGGTATACCGAAAACATGAGGTTACAAATATTTGTACACCGTATTCGGATTTCGACAATTAATGTCTCATCAGTGATGTTAGGAATCCACACGTTATTTGGAAGGCCATATAATTTATCTCAATTTAGGATAGACACTTGAATTTTGAAGAGTCGAAATAGTATGAACGGATCATATAAACCCGATGGCAAATATAATACGAGCCCAAACGAAAAAATTAGAATAAGTCTAAATTGAAAACAACGTTCAAACCTATGATTGCGTTGGATAAAAACCGCAATGTTTATACGTGTGCATGCAAAACAAATTTCTTGGTAGAAGGGTCTAAATACAGCACAAACAACATTTTCTAAAAGACCAACATAGTGAGAAAGTATATTTAAACAAAACATATATATATATATATGCTTACACAAACAATCTTATTTTTTTCACATTATTTCTCGTAAATCTACCGTATGGGGATGTCAATAACAATTTGACTATTATTCATTTTACGTAAGCAATGTTTACATGCTGTGAGGTGATTTAATTTCAATAACGTATTTCCTTTAGATGTAAAAAGAAAATTACCATAACAGGTTCAGAAGTTTGGAACAGTACTTTAAACTACGTAAGCAGTCAATGGCAGACAATAGTTAAACAATGGATATACATATAATACGTTATTACGCGCTGATCAAAGAACGAATGAACCATCAAAGTTCGTCATCTGAGCAGTATTGTATATAATCACACAGGGAGAGTAATTTGTTGATCAAAGTACATGTATTATGGGTTCATTGACTTGAATTTACAAACACATTTTAAAGTAAATGAAAATTACAAAATTAAAACGGTAATAGTTTGATTATGTCTATATCATTACACTATATGTTAAATATATGAGGGAAAAAAAACACATTCCCAGTTACCGGCAATTGGAACTGCAGATGCAATAGGTAACAAAAATCAAAGTTTGTTGTACAAAATACAAAGTATTGCAATTACAATCGGAAAAGCAGACAAAATATACTGTACACGATAGCAAAAACTGTTTTGAATAGCTAGCCGGAACATATATTCTAGTGTATCAGTCGTAATAACAGACAGTGAAATGGTATGATCAGAATCATAGAAAGAATGTAAAGAATAGATAGTAAAAGGGTAATACCAGAATCATAGAAAGAATGTGAAGAATAGATAGTAAAAGGGTAATACCAGAATCATAGAAAGAATGTAAAGAATGGCTAGTAAAAGGGTAATACCAGAATCATAGAAAGAATGTAAAGAATAGATAGTAAAAGGGTAATACCAGAATCATAGAAAGAATGTAAAGAATGGCTAGTAAAAGGGTAATACCAGAATCATAGAAAGAATGTAAAGAATGGCTAGTAAAAGGGTAATACCAGAATCATAGAAAGAATGTAAAGAATGGCTAGTAAAAGGGTGTGATCAAACTCATAGAATAATAGCAAGTAAAAGGGTGTGATCAGAATCATATATGATAGCTAGTAAAAAGGTGTGATCAGAATCATAGAATAATAGCTAGTAAAATGGTGTGATCAGAATCATAGAATGATAGTTAGTAAAAGGGTGTGATCAGAATCATAGAATAATAGCTAGTAAAAGGGGTGTGATCAGAATCATAGAATGATAGCTAGTAAACGGGTGTGATAATAATCATAGAAAGATAGCTAGTAAAAGGTTGTGATCAGAATCATAGAATAATAGCTAGTAAAAGGGTGTGATCAGAATCATAAAATCATAGAAAACCCAACACCGTAATTTGGTTATCAGCTCGCCATGACAGCATAGAAAGCTTATTTTATTTCAAATAAAACACAAATGTCCAATTTGCTGTCATCGACCGCTGCCATCACATATAAACACAATATACAATACAAAAATGTTCTATAAGTTGAAGAAAAAAAGATTTACAGTAATATCGATCATGTTTATTATTTTCCACTTGTTTCTTCTGAAGTAAAGAATGGGTGGTTGGGAAACTATACTGTACTGTCTGAAAGATGAACATCTAATGACAGTTCTAAACTACCTATAAAGGCAACAGTAGTATACCGCTGTTCGAAATTCATAAATCGATTGAGAAAAAAACAAAACAAATCCGGGTTACAAACTAAAACTTAGGGAAACACATTAAATATAAGACACTACGACACAACAGAAACACTACACAAAAATGTAACATACACAGAAACGAACTATAATATAACAATGGCCATTTTCCTGACTTGGTACAGGACATTTTAAGAAAAAAATGGTGGGTTGAACCTGGTTTTGTGGCTAGCCAAACCTCCGCGCTTTATGGCAATGTTAAATATATACTATAACTTAGCGCTTAAATGAGCAGGAACATGTTTTGGTTGAAATACACGTGTTCCCGAGTAACTTTTACAAATACATTACTAGCTAGTAAAATGATGTGATCAGAATTATAGAAAGAATGTTAATAATGGCTAATAAAAGGGTGTGATCAGAATCATATAAATAATGTTAATAATAGCTAATAAAGGGGTGTAATCAATATCTTAGAAAGAATGTGAGGAATAGCTATAAAGGGGTGTAATCGATATCTTAGAAAGCATGTTAATATTATCATAGAAATAATGTTGATAATATCTTGTAAAAGAGTGTGATTCGAATCAAAGAAAGAATTTTAATAATTCCTAGTAAGAGGGTGGGATCAGAATCATAGAAAGAATGTTAATTAGT